AGTATTTGCAGAATATGAAGTAATTTATTGAGCCGAAAATTTCCCTCGGTTGGTAAGGCGATTCAACCTTCTTTTTCTGGCATCCTTTTGAGAGTAAAGTATTTTCGCTTGGGATCTAGCGAAAGAAGATATTCAGCCACATTGCGGGCTTGCAAGTGGGCTTGAGTAGTAATTTTTTTGTCCATGTTCATAATAATAAATCTAAGTGCTAACTATATATAATTGGTTTTAATAAAAAATTAACTAAATATTTAAAAAACCCTCTATTGCTAGCATGTTTTACTTTTTAGTCAATTTGTAAAATATTCCTCGTTCCTCATCCAATTTTTTTAGTTGGGATTTTAGTTTTCGGTTCCTTCCGCTTTGCCTCCAACTGACCTTCTTTTTTTGTTTTTTACTTAAAGTTCTTGGCATAAGATTATTTTTACTGATTATTGGCATTGCGTTGCTTTTGATAGGCTACTCAGGTTTGGTGGGAAGCCGGGTTCTTTTTTTCTGAAGAGGTTTTTTTATTTTGAGTAATCTCAGAGTTGGTTTTTTGAGATTGATTAACTTTAGTTTGGTTGATTTTCTTTTGGGACATGTTTTTAAATCGGGGTTTTTAGTTAATTTCTTCTCAACTCTTTAATCTTCATCCGAGAGTTCTTTTTTCACACCAAAAGAGATAAGTTTTATCTCGAAAAGTTTGCTGAGTGAGAGTAGTTCAGATTTCTTTGGAGACTAGATTAGAGAAGGCATACAGAGTTTCTTTTTTAGTAGTTAGTAAACTTTGGCTAAGGATTTCTAAGCAGTAAAAGTTTTGTCCTTGATATTGGCTTTTACTGGTGACTTGACCTGGTCAGCCGGCTTGGATGATGCCTTTTAGTTGGTGCAGTTTACGTTTAGTCATGAAGTTTAAAACTCTATTTTTCCCGGAAATCGCGGAAAAGCAATCGTATCCCGAATATTTTCGGTGCCGCTGAGGAACATGATTAATCTTTCTAAACCTAAGCCAAAGCCGCCACTGGGAGCATAACCATATCTTCGTAAATCAAAATATCAGGCTAAATTATTGATATCTAAACCTATTTTGTGGGCTTTTTTGATTAAAACTTGGTAATTGTCCTCCCGCACACTACCCCCCATTAATTCTCCAATTTCGGGAAATAGTAAGTCAAAACAGGCTACCGTTTTCCCATCGGGATTATTTTTCATATAAAAAGCTTTTAATTCTACTGGATAATTAATTATAAAAACTGGACGATTGCCAAAATATTGACAAAGATATTTTTCGTGTTCAGATTGTAAATCTATTCCTCATTTAATGTCATTAAAAACAAAATTTTCTTTATTTTTTTCTAGTATCTTAATTATTTCATTATAATCAACCTTTTTAAACTCTTCGCTGGTAATTTTTTTTAATTTACTAATTATCTCTTTTTTATTATATTTTTCTAAATATTCTAGTTCGCTAAGGTTATTTTCTAATACTTGGTTCACGACATATTTGATTAATCTTTCGGCTAAATCAGTTATTTTATCTAAATCAGCAAAAACCATTTCGGGTTCAATCATTCAAAATTCAGCCAAGTGGCGAGTAGTATGAGACTTTTCCGCTCGAAAGCAGGGTGAGAAAGTGTAAACTTTGCCTAGTCCTTGGGTCAGGGCTTCGGCGTGGAGTTGGCCGCTGACAGTTAATTGGGAGGACTGGTGAAAAAAATCCTTGGGTTGGATGGTAAATAATTCGCCGGCTCCTTCGGTATCGTTGCTGGTAATAATCGGGGTGGGAATATAATAAAAGCCCTCTTGATCAAAAAAATCATGAATGGCTTTACTAACCTTATGTCGTAAGCGAAAAAGAGTTAAAAAATAATTAGTTTTAGTTCGTAAGTGAGGATAATTACGAACTACTTCGAGGGGGATAGCTTGTTTTTGGAGCGGATAATCTTTGGCTGTTGAGTTAACCAATTCAATTTGCTGGGCGTGGAGTTCAACTTGCTGGTTTCGGTGCGGAGTTGAAACTAGTTGGCCTTCAATAATTAAACAACTACCGAAATTAATATTTTTGATTTTTTGGGCTAAGTGGGAAGGGCAAACAATTTGTAGATGATGTAAACAAGAGCCATTATTGAGGGTGATAAAACTAATCTTTTGGCTGTGTCGAATTGATTTTACTCAACCCCCCACTTTGATTTTCCCCGCCGGGCTTAAGTTTTTTTCAACTCGTTGGTAAATATCTTTAATGAGGTGGTCGAATTGAGTTAATTGTTTGGTTGGCATATTTTTTTAGGATTCTTGGTCTTGGTGATAAGTGTCAAGGAGGGAACAAAGACCATCTTCATAGAGTGGTTGACCGAATTCATCATATTTACCTTTAATTGGTTGGTCTTCTAATAATTTAAGGGTGTCTTTTAAATTTTCCACCAGATTAGAAAGAGTGTCGGGGTCTCAGGTGTCGGGGTCATCCGAGTTAATGGCTCTTACTTCATCAATTTGGTCTAATAGTTGGCTTAATTTGATTAATTTAGTTTGGATTGATTTTTTGGACATGGTGGGATTAAAGAAGTGAGAGAAATTATTAAATAATTGGGGGTTTAAATCTCGTCTTTGAAACGAATGTAGAGTTCTTTTTGTTCTACTCTATCTGCTTTAGTAAATTCAAAAATGGTTTCCATTTGAAATCAACCAGGGTTAATTTTCTTTTCATAATGGGCTAGTTGGTGGTTTTGGAGCGGTTTGGAA